TGAGTCGCCTGTGACTCATAGTGACCTTATGTACAACAGCTCTGAACCCTGCTCTATCCTGTGCCAACCTTACTGTCTCTGATACACCTATCCTCAGTTACACTAGTCACTGAATCAATCCATCTAATCGAGGGTCTTTCACTAGTGTGCTGTCTCTCCACGCTCCCAAGTATGACGTCCCTCTCCAAGGACTGGTTCCACTATGCAACATGTCTGAAGCATGTCTGATCGAGCTTCAGAATCCTTGCCTCTAAGGAACATTCCGCTTTCAATTCACTCATTCACTTTTTTGGTGGTAAGCATGCTAGACTACTAAAATGAAAATTTAAGATTATGAATTTTATTTCCTGAAATCAGTATTATTCTACTCTATCTCTAGTACTCTTACAAAGTGCCTGTGTGCTGAATTAAACTAACCTTAACAGCCCATCACTACCCACACTGAGACTTGAGGCTTATCATTTCTAGGCAGTGAAGCTCTGATCACAGTTAACATTTAGCTAAGCCACTCTCACATGTCAACACTTTGATTAAATTTAAGATGTTCAACAATAACAGAAGTAAAATAATTTCTCTTGTACAAGTAGTTTGCTGGTCAGAAAGCCTAAACTACCTCCATAAAATTTTAAGTATCAGTGTATCCATTAATATTTCATGTCCTTTTTATAAGCATATGTCCTTATATGAATACTCCTAGTAAACTCCCAGCAGCTGTCCCACAGAATCCATCTCTTTAATCTTTGTCTCTTTTCACACACTTCTCTCTTTGTTCCGGTAGAAAAAATCAGATTCACACCTACAGCTACTTTCATTCCATTCCTAAAGCTTAAATGATTCATTCTGGTCACATTTCAAGTGGTTTGCTAAGACATCAATTACATCATCAAGTCTTCGGAATGAAAATAATGGTAGAATATTTAATTTATAAATGTTATTGTTAAGTGTCGTCGGGTCATAGCGACCCTATGAACGAAAGTCCTGGACACCTCCTGTATAACTTTTGTCCTTTCTCCAGGTTCACAGGGTTTTCCGAGACAAGCTATTGTGGAAGTGGATGCCACTCCTGCTTCCAAGCTTGTTTAAATCGGGGAGCTCCGCCAAACATTGTCTACCATGCACAGCCATTCTCACATTTGACTCATCAGTGTCACAGTGTTCGGCTTCACAGCAACCACAAGTTACCTCTGTACAGCAAGTGGACATACCAGGGTTACACGATCTAGAAGAATGTTTCACCAAAAACAATTAAAGGTGGACCTGAGGGTTGGGGAGTAGAGTCACCCACCTTGAAGTAAATTAGAATTATTAAGGGTCCTTGACAGGGAAATGGAACTACCAAGCCCACAAGGAAATGTGACACTAAGAAATTCTTCGGAATATTTAGTTCAGATTCAGTAAAAATTCCTTTAAGAAAAATCTGAATCTATTTCACTGGAGAAAAAAATGGCTAAAAAATGGAGGCAACAAAAGTAATATTTTGTGAGATGTTGAACTGATGTCCCAGGATACTGGACCATAGGTCCCATTTTACTTAAAGCTGCTAACAGTATGAGTTAACCCAGAAACAAGGAGGGTAAGCAGAAGTAGATGACAAAGCTTTTCTTCTGGGGTGACTCTGGGTGGATCCAAAGCACCAATCTTTAAGTTAATACCCGTGCAATTAACTACACCACCCAGGAAGGACACTGGGGTACATGGTGGAGGTTCTAAACTCACCTTTGTACATGCTCAGGTCATCATGCACACACATAAACAGAGCCTAAAGAAGATCCTTCTATATTTCTCTTCAAGGCCTGAAATAAACTCATCTTACTGCTTTTAGGTCACTCGTCCTTCACATTTCTGGATGGGAAATGATCCTAAAGACTGTCCGCTGGGGTACTGTGACCTTTCACACTGTGTGTAGACATTCGTTGCCAAGAACAGAGTCCCACATCACTAAAGGTGAAAAGCCCAGAAATTATTAGAAGGGCAGAAAAATGGTATGAGGGAAAGTGCTTCATTAGTATAAGGGCTAAGGAAATAAAGAAGATGTGTGTTTCCCAAACCCAGTGGAAATAAAGTCTTCCCTCTACAAAATGGCCAATGAAGAGATGCGATAAAACACCTGCCACAACTGCTTCCACGCTTGCTTTCAAGAGCCTGACATCGAGAGAGGGCACAAATGAGCTGGGAAAGAATAACGTCTAATAGTTTACACTTCCCTGGTAGCAACCAGCTGTTAAGTCCAGCTATTCCTCCCTTGATTTAAGAACACACACTCTAATCCCTGGACCCCCACAGGTTCTACCCAGGCTTTCAAATCCATCGATAAATCACAATCTCAGCAAGTCGTATTTATTAAAAGCTCAGTTCTGGGCACTCAGAAAAATATCAGCCAATGGGATGGTGCTCTGGAAACAGCCTCTAAAGTGATTAAGAAGAAAGATGACTTGGTTCATCTAAAATGATTAAACACATTAAGCAGAGCTCACTCTAATGGCTTCTAAGGGATATGTTATCATCATCAACCTATACTGACTACCCATGGAGCAGAAGGCAGAAGATTAGGTACCATGACAGGATACAGGGGTGGGAGCGGGAATATTCACACAGAAAAGATGCTGTCCTTTTCCCAAGGAGGTGAGCCTTTCATATCATATTCTGACACTGCCATGTGATTCGAACAATGGGCCACTTGAGAGATATAATTTTGCAGGCTCAGGCACTCATCATCTAAGGGCACCTTTGTTTTTTCTAAATCCAACATCAGAAATAAAACGGCAGATGACTTAACAGAGACTACTCTTCAGCAAGGTAATTTTAAAAATGTAATGCTAGCACGCATGAAAGAAGGGCACATCTTTCAACATGAACCTTGATAATTTCTCTCCTATGGGTTTTCCAAGAAATTATGCCTAGATGAAATAATGTTTTTACAGCTATAATTTTCTCCCCTGAAGATTTAATTCTTTAAAGCAACCTCATATATTTTTTTAAAAAAGAACTATCTGAGTAAAGCAGTAATCAGAAAGAGAAACTTTCACATATAAAAGTCATTTCTGAACATTAACTTACTAACTTTATACTAGTCATGTAAGACAGGACAAGTACAATATGGGGAAAAATTAAGAGCACTTTTCCAAGTCAAAATGTATTTTAATTGAGCAACTCGTAATTAAAAAGATTCTATGCACTATGTTTTTCTTCTTCACCTTGATCTCAGATATACAGGTAAAATGACAAAAACAAAAGTTGTTTTGAGTCATATGTTGTCGTTAGGTGCTGTCAAGTTAACAATGACTCATAGTGACCATAGTGACTGATCAATGGATTTAAACCCTGTCCTATTCTGTGCCATTTCTGATCTATTTGAGCACAGTGTTAGATTCACTGTATCAATCCAATTTGTTGAGATCATAAGTCATCTAAAATTTACACTGTCTGATTACGAATAATCAGCCATTCTTAGGTGAACAATCAA